CATTAAATGTCTGCACTACCCAGGAACTCATGTTCCATAAGGGGAGGAACTTTGTCTTTTTAACAATGAAAGTAGGTATCCTAATACCTACAAAAGCATCTTATTTGCCTCATGTCAGGTATTTAATATCTTTGTTGAATAAGTGGGTAAGTAACGAGAAAAAACAAACAAAAAACCTAGACTAAAACAAATATTAAATTTTGAATGAATGATTCACTTTTCCTTCTCAATTACCAGAGCTTTTTCTTTTTTTGACATGACTTAAGTTGCCAGTCTCTTAAAAAGATTAGGTAGGATGTTTGAACTGATAAGATCATTATATCTTAAAAAAAAAATTCCTGCAGATAGTACAGATGTTCAAAATAATTCCACTGGCTATGCTTAGAAAAAAGAAAGGCTTGTAATTTCTGTCCTAATGTCCAGATGACTCTGAGCATTAAATACTTCATTAAACACTAGAGGCAACATTTTCAGTTCTGCAACTTCATTCACTTGACAACATTCTTTGAGTACCTACATATGTCAGGCACTGAGAGAAAGTGTCTGGGAGTCAACCATGTAGTGAAACGTGAAGGCTAATCAGGGTCCCACCTAATATGGCACATCTGCCCTCGTTGCTGCTCCCTCCTTCCCTTCCCAAATACTACTTTGGTTTTCAAGAATTAAGTGAACAGCTCAGAGTATTTGGTATACCTGACTTGACTGGCAAGTTTTATTATGTCCTGCTGGTAAGACAGCAAAGAAAAAGCAGTTGAAAATTATGTATTACATGCAATGAAAAAGTTGTAACTTTGGTAGACTTTTACAAAATTTGTAGACAATTTTTTTGTTTTGAAAATTTCTATTTTTGAAAGAGCAAAAATTATGGCCTATATAAGAACTTTAGGGGGTTGGATGATATTAGGCTAAAACAGAAATATAAATTTAAACTTTCAACATAAAGTGTGCTCTTACTACTTTCAGTGCACAGGTTTAGGCATTAATCATTAATTCCTGTAAGGATAACAGCTATTCCAACTAAAAACCCACTGCTATCAAGTTGATTCTATTTCATTGTGACCCTGTAAGATGGAATTTGGTGTAGTGCCTAAGGCATTTGACTATTAACCAGAAGGCTGGTGGTTCAAACCTATCAGCTACTCCTGGGAAGGAAGATTAGGCAATTTACTTCTGCAATGATACCGCCTCAGAAACCTGAGGAGAGGTCACTTGACAGTAGTGAGTTTGGTTTTTGAGTTTTAGGACAGAATAGAACTGCCCAGAAAGTTCCCAAGGCTGTAAATCTTCATGGAAGCAGATCGCCACATCTTTCTCTGGCACAGTAGCTGGTGGGTTTGAACTGCCTATCTTTTGGTTAGCAGCCGAGTGTCTAACCACTGTGCACCAGGGCTCCTAAACAGCTATTAGGTTATTCAAACTCAAAAGAAGACTTGTCAGATGGTGTGACAAATTACTTGTTTATTTACTTATATTGTAAGTGTATGAAATTTTACTGATGTTGCTAGAACCTTGAGTATTACCTGTTCCCCTTTAAGTTTCTGCTTTTAGAGAAAAAAAGTTAAAGTTGTATTATACTGAGATAAACTCCTTTTTTTTAATATGTCTAAATATTCCAATTTTTTTTTCAAAATACTTCAAATTTTTTTAAAAGTTAAAGATGTTAAGAATAATGGAATTGTCTTGATCTCCCCCCCCCTTTTTTTTAAATAAAAAGAGATATCAATCAAATAAGGGAATGAAATCACATTTCCTTCACAGCCTTTTCTATCACAATGTTCCCTTTATCTGCTGCTTATACTGCCAGGAGAATTACGTGACATTAAATGGTGATGAGAGAAAAGTTTTTGACTTGAACACTCATATTCAAATTATGATATATGTTTGTATGCATGCTAATCTTTTGTGATTAGTTGTGATACAGTGCTCATTCAGAGAGAAAGTGGCTAATGTATAAAGTTTGAAATGGCTCATAACTTACTGACAACAGAGAAAATATGCTTTCTGTCATTTCAAAATTCCTAACGTAATCATTGAAATAGCATCATAAGTAGACCTGGGCACTAAGCTAGATTGGAGAGCTGTACACAAGCCATGCTTAGACAGCATAATGACCACAAATGGTATGTGTAAGTCAGAAAGAGTTTGGCCAATATAAAAGTCAGTGAAAAGTACAAAGCTTGCAAATTAACATACCCTTCACATTTCTGATAGATTTATGAGCACAAACATGATTTTTAATTTGGCACAAAGAATCATAACTAGATATGTTCATAAACCTGTTGGTCCATCTGATTCTGCTTAGCTCCAGAAAAAAAAAAAAAAAAGGCTTCCCTAAATACATTACCATATTAATTGGGAATATTTCAAAATTTGGAATGAAGATATTCAATGTTATTGTGCCTCCAATCTTTAAGTGATAACAAATTGTATTTTAAATTAAAATACTCACAGTTGTTGCCTGCTCTATTACCCCTCTGACCAGCTGAATGTTCTAGCTCCTTGTATGGGAATTGTAGAGTTGTATCTAAGGTTCTGAATCCTTCTTTAAGAGAATGATGCTTGTAGTACTCCACAAGTTCCTTTAGGGAAAAGGAGAAATGATTATTTTTGATAAGGATATTTTTGTTCTGAAACACATGAACTCCATACCACATAATTGTATGTACTATATGAATCATCTATTTAATGCTAAGTTCTCAAAAATATATGGAAGAGTACATCAATGATAATTTTTTCCTGCTCTCTGGATATACAAGACACCTTCCTACCAACTGCCCTTGTTACTTAGTCCACTTATAATGTGAGTTACCACCTATTATTATTCATGGATAAAAAACATCCTGTTAGTCTTCAATCACATATGGTAGATGAAAAGAAACCATACTAAATCTCACTTTCAAAGTAGTAATTATTGTTCTTATTTACGACACATTTGCCTTTCTAAACACTAACAAAAGGAACAGCTGTTTGCTGAATATACAGCAATTTCTTGTTTTCTGCATTTTCTTTCAAAATGGTGGAAAAACAAATGCTCCTAAATGCACTTTACTAAGGTAAAGTAAAATTGACAAACCATAAATGCTACTTGTTATCATTTCTGATTTATGATGACGTATTAGTGCCTGATCCAAAACTCTTTATATCATCTAATGTTCACAGAAGTCAATAAGGTAGTCCTTTCCCATTTTCTTTTATAAATAATTTGTCTCTAGTACATCCAAGCCTAATAAAATAAGCACCCACCATCTTTCAAACTAAAATTTCAGGAAATCTCTTTTGAGATGCTGGTTTTGTAGATTCTACAGAAATCTAAATCTCTCTATTTAAAACAGAAATTGAGTAAGAATTAATTCATAAGTGAAAAAAATGCATCTTATCATTGGAGGAATTCTGTGGATATACATGGTTGTTGTTGTTGTTGTTATGTGCTGTTGAGTTGGATCCGACTCATCGTGACCCCTCCTCCTTGAGTTTCCAAGGCAGTATCTCTATGGAAATAGATTGCCCAACCTTCCTTCCGAGGAGTGGCTGGTGGGTTTGAACCGCCAGTCTTCTGGTTAGCAGTCAAGTGCCTTAGGCACTACGCGACCAGAGCTCCTCTGTGGATATATAGTTTCACAGAAATATCTGATATGAAACTGAAAGCAAAATCACTTTTAACTATTTGGTGCTTCTATTACAACAACTATTCTTTAAAACAAACATTGTAAAAACAACTCATTCCCTCTAAAAATCACATTGCCAATCAGCTCAATATCGCCATTCAGTGCTTATGTTAAAAGTTCCCAAACTAAATCAATCAGGGCAAAAAATCACCCCAAAGAAGAACAAAACTATCAATGATTTATTTATAATTGATGAACCAAAGTCAGAGCAACTGTGGAATGTATTGTGCTAGGAGTCTCAAGTGTCATAAAGATTATGAAGATAAGGTTCCTGCCCTCTAGGAGTTCTCACCATTGTAGGAAGTGAGGGGTCATGGGAGTTCAAAGTCAGGAGAGAACAATATCTTTTGCAAGCTTGACGGGGAGGATGAGGGAAGGTTTCATGAAGGATGTAGTATGGCTTAAATTGAAGATGAACCAAGAAGGGGGGTGAGGGTTGTTTTAGGTAGAGCAGCCAGGATAAGAACAGACCAAAGTGTGATAAAGTGAAGACCTTGTCCATAAACTGAAAGTAGCATGGTTTGGTTGGAGGACTGGGTAAACTAATAAGGATTTTTCAAGTCCCACCATCGTAAAAGGTAGATAACAAACTATTTCACAGCCTGCAATACAAAATATATAAAGTGACCTGTAAGTGGCTGGTACATGTGAATAATTCTCAAAGCTACCATTATTCCATGCATCAGGGCCTTTACACAGTTACCTTATATAATGTTCACACAAGAAATTTGTAAGATAGACCCTATCCTCATTAATGTTCACGTCTCATGAGGTTAAACAACTTAAGCAAAGTATTATAGCTGGTGTTTGTCTCCACACTTTCTGCTCTTACTACATCATACTCCTAGCAAATAAACCCACTGCCATTGAGTCGATTCTGACTCATAGCAACCCACATTGGGTTTCTGAAGTGGTAAAAGGAAGATGACACAACTTTGCTTGCTGAAAGTGAGGATGACTTGAAGCACTTACTGATGAAGATTGAAGAATACAGTCTGTAGTATGGATTGTTATGTGCCATCAAGTCGGACCCAACTCACAGTGACTCCTCCTTGGGTTTCTGAGGTGGTATCACTACGGAAGTAGATTGCCCAACCTTCCTTCTGAGGAGTGGCTGGTGGGTTTGAACCGCCAGCCTTCTGGT